ATGTCCTGTGGTGAGTGTTTGCGACTCGGGACCCTGGGTGGTCCGTCAAGGTACGCAACACTCCCCCCAAGCCCAGGTCCAGCAGTCGCACCCTGAGTATGTATTCCGTTGCTCCGGCGGGCCATTGGGTGCAACACCTCGGCGCGAGGTAACTACAGAGATGCGAGAGCCTCGAGCAGAGCTCGGCGTTGTTCTTCATCGTGGAGTCCGTCAACGAATTGTTTCACAAGGAACGGTACTTCGCCGTACATCACAAGGAAGTGCTCCCAGCTGGATTCGATGGCTTTAAGGCCTTTCCACTGTACTAGGAGCTCCCATCGGTTAGTCCCAGGGTTGAGTCGGGCAGCTTCAATCGCGCCGACTGTCAGCACAACGCTCTGGTTGATGACGTGATCGAGGATTTCCTCCGTGAGGTCGAGGTACTGGTCTGAGTAAAATTTCAGCCTTGAGTGATGAGCTTCCCACTCGTTTCCGTTGATGACGTGTTCAATCACGCATGGTACGGCAGGCATTCCTTGACTGGGATGGGTCCAATCCACGTGACGGATAGCTTCGGGTAATGCGAGTTTTCATCAACCCTTGACCACAGCATGTAGTCGCCTTCCATAACTTCGAACGCTGTCGAGTTGGTCTTGTTGAGGATCTGCCGGTTCTGTGCCGCGCGCTTGAGGTCGAGGATCTTGAAGTGAATCTCTCCGAGGCTGCGTCGTAGGGCACTCATCGCGGTTCTGATGTTGGGTCGTTCCCACTTGACTTCGGTCAATCCATCTACGATCAACTTTCTGTTGAAGCTTCCGGCGATGACGTTGAGGGGCGTAGTCGGATCTAATCCAGTGTAAGCAAACATGGGAGACGTACCGCCCAGAGATTCGGTTGGCGTCTGGTTCAAGTTCGCTTGCACTACGGGCAGTAGGTAATCCCACTCGGTCTTGGCTAGCCGGCTTTCGGCCAACATGACTCGCATGACTGCCAGTATATCGCGATTCACTCGCTCAACCGTTCCGTTTCTCCACGGACAGTAGGCCAGGACAATGTTGTGCTGGACTTTGAGGCGGTGTGCTAGCGCCTTCATGATGTTGTTCTTGAAGTGGCTGCCGCCATCGGAGATCCACACTTCTGGTACTCCGAACATGGCCGACCAGTCCATAATTGCGTCCACCGCAACTTGACTTGTCGGACTGTCGCAGGCAATGAGCCGTACGAAGTGCGTAAGGTCGTCTTTCAAGACCAACACATACTTGGAACCTTTTCAGGTTTCACCCATGAATAGGTAGTCGAAGTGCAGTCCTTGGTTGCGCCGTGTTGCTGACCACGTATTCCCATGAGGCCTTTGGATGATCTTCCCACCTCGAATATGCGGGCACAACAGAAACGACCGGAGGAATGCCGCGAGCTTCTCATCGAGATGCGAGATGGTAAACAGTTGTCGGATGTGACTGGCCATGGCATGATGTCCGCGATGACCCATCGATCCACAGTGGGCTATGATGAACAGCCTTGTGAGCAGGTCGTGGGCATCGTCGGGTATCCAGATGCGTTCGCGCAGGTAGAGGACGCCGTTGTCTTGCATGATAGCGGTTGGTGGTGCCGCCACAGCCTTCTGGGCTTGAATGATTGACTCCAGGTCAGGCCAAATAAAATCCATGTCGTCCAGCGGGCGGATCTTCGCCTGCGACGGCTTGTATACCATTCTTGGCTTGTGGCGCTTCTTGCGCTTCGTCCATTCTTTTAACTGTCGTACGTGGTTTCGACGCTTCTAGCGTGTCCATACGACGCTGGCAAAGATCGGGGGCATCGCAGAGTGTAGGCGGAGCACGTGTGCCTTCAGTGGCGCGGGTTGTCCCCAGCGGCTGGTAGATCGGCCCACAGATTGTGCACGCCGTCGATGTGCTCGATCACGTAGCGGCATTGGCCGATGAGGTCGGCCCAACGCAGTAGCTTCTCCCGTGTGTGCGCCTTGATTTCCTTGTCGGGGGCAAACACGTGAATGAGGTTCTTGTGGTCGCAGTACATGCGGAGCCCCAAGGGCCTCAGTAGCAGGTATTTCAACGAGTCGCATGCACGAGCGATGGGATAGCCTTCCTTTTCGATGACGCTCCAGTTCCTCTGGGTCTTGTCGAACATGCCTGACTGGCATACTAGCATTTCATGCTGTTGCTCGTGGATGGGCTTCGCTTCGTCGAACGCTTGGACTTGTGTCACCATGATGGACCATCCTTCCTGGGACGCGTCCGTAAACAGACACATGGTCGCGCGTTCGTCCGGGTGGTGCAGTTGTACTGCGGCCACCATAAGTTCCTTGACTTTGTCCCAGCTTGCACGTTCGTCGTGGCTGAGTTCGATTTCAATCGATGCAGCGGTACGCTTCTTGCGTCGCTTGCCAGCTAATGCCTCGGTGAGCTTCTTCTGTAACGGGTCCACAGCTTGGGCTAAGCCGATGAGGGAATCACGGATCCAGTTGACTGCGCAGATGAACTGTTGCAGTTGGCCAGTCGTTGTGGGGTACGGGATCTTGCAGAGTGACGACAGCCGCTCGGGGTCTTGTCGTACACCGTGTCCGTCTATGATCCGGCCACACCACTTGATTTCCTTGCAGAGGAGAGTGCTCTCCCGAGGGTTCAGCCGTAGTCGGTATCGTACACAGATGGCAAAGAGTTCTTCCAGAACTGCCAAGTACTCTTCCAGAGTGTTGGCCCAGACGAGAATGTCGTCGATCCACACGAGACAGTTCTTGTAGAGTAGGGTCTTTAAACACTCGGTCATGGTGCTTTGGAAAAACAGGGCACTGTCGCAGAAGCCTTGCATGACGCGGGTCGGCGTCATCACGCGGAAAGCCAGCATGAAGGAAAGGACTTCGCGGGAAGCGGGTCCAAGCGGCAACTGCCAGAAACCCTAGGTCGAACACCCCTAGGAATTGGGCGCCCCTGACGGATTCCAACACCATGAACTGGAAGGGCATAGCACCGGCCATTGGAATGGTCATGCTGTTCACCACGCGGTAATCGATGGTGAGACGGTAGTGTAGGAGCAGTTCTTCTGTCGTCCATTCACCGCTTGTCTTGAGCAGCTTCTTGCCACTTGGTTTCATCACCGGGTTGACTGGACTACAGTATGCACTCGAAGAGTTCGAATAGATAATACCATCTTCTTCAAGCTGGTTTCCAAATGCATCCAGGAACGTCGTCTCTAAAGGACTACTCTTGCGGGCCTTGCATCGGTGCGGCTGGGCATCGGCCTTGAGCTTGATGTCCATCGCTGGTACGTTCGCTGCTTCATCCGTTCCACGGAATTGTGCGTGCCAAACGTCCTTGGCTGAGGCCTGCATGACGATGTCCTTAAGCTTGTGGGTCTTGACGTGCTTGCCTGCGTCCGTTATCTTGAGCGTTTCAAACGCTTTCTCCAACAGTGACACTGCGGCATCTTCATCGAGTTTGTCGAGGTTCTGTTCACCACCTTGCAAACGACGAGTCGCCACCCCGCAGGCAATGTCTTCGTCTTCGTCGGGTTCACCCACGTCATCACCGTCTTCATGACTTTGGTGTTGAGCCACTTGTTCCAACAAGTGGTTCATGTCGATCCCGATGGACAGCAACGCATAGCGCGAGACGAGCAATGAGTCGCTGCGGCTGATTACGTAACATAGTTGCACACCGGGTAGGTTAACAGGTCCAGTGCTCAAACGGATGCGCAAGTTTGCCGCCACGTCTGCGTACACTGGCTGTTCGTCCACGGCGTAACCTTTCCAGGTCTTCGCCAGTTGAACCACGTCAACTTCTGTCTTCGTCTTCAATGCTTCCAGCATTTCTTCTGAAATGATGTTCGCATCACTTCCAGAGTCGGCACAAAATGGTACTTCCAGTACGCCGTTGAGGGTTGCCATGTTCACGGCATCGTCCGGCATGTAGATGCGGTAGAACTTCTTGCCCATCTTCTTTCGCATCTGCGCTGTCTTCTTCGCGTACTTCTGGAATTTAGGGTTGCGCAGGTAGCCACACATTCGCCAACCCCACACCCACTTGATTCGGTCAATGCCGTCTTGGTCGATGTCGGGGCAGTCCTTGAAATGATGCAGGCGCTCAAGGTCACCGCAAAACAGGCACTGCACCGGGTGTGCGATTCGACCGTCCAGGATGGGTAGCTCGGTCATCCAGTGATAGTACTGGTTGATTCCAAACTCGGTTCGGATTCCATCGCACCATACGTTGTTGGTAATGCGGATGGCCAGGCATGATCTCCATTCGCCGCCATAGTCCACTGACACGCTCATCCATATGATACCCATGTCTTCTCCAAGAGACAACTGATGGTGGACACGGGTTCTGCACCTGCTGCACATGGAAGTTGGGAGGAAGCTCTCCTTCGGGCTGTCCCACGAGTGCAAGTGCCCGGACTTCGTCTAGGATTACTTCCCGTACATCCGCTTCGTCTTCCTGACGATCTGATTGTAACGCAGCAGAATAGGCAGAGTTGTTCGATTGACGATCTTTAGAGGGTTTCTTTCCCGGGTTTCCTTGTCCTTTGGGATTCCCCCAGCCACCAAAACGAGTCTGTCGCGGCACACTCACGCGATTTGTACTCGTGTTTCGTTTCGTGCCCGAATCTTGATATCCCGCATTGCGATCGATTGCTTGCGCCGGAGAGGTTCCAAACTTCGCGCCTTGGTCGTTTCTGGGCCAACCAAACTTGGCGTCTTGGGAACTGCCTCTGTGACGGGAGTAACCGCTTCCACGGTACGCGCATTGATTGCGCTCGCTTGTGCGTACACGACTTCCATGTCGTTCACGCCCGCTATGGTAACCTTCCTGGCTTCGTCCACGGCTTCGGTCGTACCCGCGACTCTCTTCACGTCCACGACTGTACTCACGCCCGTGGCTGCGATCGCGTCCACCACGACTTAGTTTGCGCCCTCGGCTTCGGTCGCGTCCGCGGCTCTGGTCGCGTGCACGGCTTTGCTGTCTTCCGTCATCTCGACTAGACTTCTTGTCTTCGCCACGATTTTGATAATCATGGCCGTGCTTGCTCTTCTTGTGCTTCGGGCTCGTGGTCCCACTCCGCTTTCCAGCGCCAGCACCCCAACGCATCCAATACGTTTGTTGTTCCACGGATATATCCACCACGATTTGGATCAGGTCACCCCACTCAAAGTCGACTGGGTGCCACTTCTTCTTGAAGGCGTCCTTGGTGTATGTACTCGCTCACCTTGCCAGGCAGCTGGTTCAACAATGACGTGCACATGCGCTTTCGAATGTCGGGTGTACGGAGAAACTCGCCGGCTCCACGTACGTCGTTTCGTTCCCAACACGCCGTCAAGTAGTCCGCTGCACGCATGGTCGCATCTTCTTCACGCATGTTGCGATATCATCGAATAGACTTTCCAAGTCAGGGTCGACGTCGTTCATTGGCTTCTTGGCTATGTCTTGAAGCCTGTCCTTGAGGATTTGCTCCGACATGTCTTCGGGCTCTCCACGGATCTTCCAGATCGACATCATAGTACGCAGCAGTTGCTTGTCCGAGAAGCACGCCACATAGCTTGTCACATGTTCACGGAACTGGATGTTCTTCCTACGGCACTCATCTTCAAGTCATGCTTCGTACGCCTTGCGTTTGATCAGCCAACGGTAAACTTCGGTTTGGGCAATCGATTGGAGGTTAGGACACACTGGTAGGTCCATGTAACGATTGTTCCTCGACCATGGCTGCGGCCACGGTCACGACTTCTGTCGCGTTCTCGGCTTCTGCCGCTCTCGCCTCCATAACGGCTTCCGCCGTAACGTTCGCTTCCACCATGTCGCTCCATGGTTCTTGTTGTTCTTCACTAGCGTCTTCCAGACACGTCTCTACCGCATAGGTCGGTAGCACTAAAGTATACTTTGTGGCGTATCCACGAAATCAAAACACAATGTTGGGGGAGCGGCAACTCCCAGGAACACTTGGCGCCGTGTATTGATCTCGAGGAAGCAAATTCTGAACTGATTAGTGTTCCCCTGGCCAACGGGGAACTTAGCCCTAACTAAACTAACCAATGAAAACTAACTGGACTGTCTGACACGCACTATACATGGACTGTCCGTCAACTGTCACCCTTTGATCGCACTAGCCTGACCCAAGCTTCCCGAGCCGTTGCCGCCGCCTACGGTGTCACCCCTAAGGATGTCCTGTGGTGAGTGTTTGCGACTCGGGACCCTGGGTGGTCCGTCAAGGTACGCAACAGTACTAAACCTTTGGAACACTATCTATAAGTGCAAGTGGTTCATAGAACGCGTACTTGTGCAAAATGAATAGAATCACGGAATTGCCTCAAATCAGTTACGTTTGAGTAGAGGCAGGACGAATTTGGGGTAAGTAAGATATATAGGGAGATTAAGTTTGGCAATGCTGTTTAAACACATTGAAATATTCAACGAACGAATTTTGCTTTGACAAATTTCCATTTGTCCTCCATTGCACCGTGAAGACGAGGCATTAATGGCCTCGTCATGGTTCACTACCAAAGGATGGCCAACGAAAAGAAGCGGAAGAAGGTAGAAGCTCAACGACGCTACCGCATGAACCGTCAAGATCGAGCTGCAATGGACGCCTTCTGCATCATGCGATTTCCGGTACAGTAGGTGTAGTACCGGTACACTGTAGTTGAGTTGACTTGTGTACAATTTTGACATTACTGTAACAGTAAAGTTGAATTTGTCGCACAGTGTGTTTCAGTTTATGAACAGTAACTCGATCTTTTACGAAGCAAATGTGTTTTCACTGAAATTCTTGGAACTGATCAAATAGATGGCGGTATTTTTTGCATGCTGCAAATACCAATTTACACACTATTTACAGATAGTTGGCATGTTGCGAAACAATTACCAACACTCCTAAATAGTGTCAATACATTGTTGTAAGAGAGAATGATGGTCACGAAACAATCGCGAAACATTATGTATAGGAGCAGCTCTACGATAAACACGGTAGTAAATTTATATACAATTAATAGTAATAATACAATGTTTGCTCTACATGGACCCTAATTTCCCTTCTTCAGTACTCCCACTATGTGTCTGGTTGACGCAGTAAAAGTAGGTCAGGTGCAGCTGTTGAAGTAGGTCAGGTGGATGGATACATACTGGCGAATTCAAATCAAGAATTACGTTAACGATAACAATGTCGTCGGATGTTGGCACAACCACGCAGACGCTTTCGGACGAAACACTCGCTCGGCGTCGATACTTTCGAGAGAAGCAGCGCGAATATCGCCGCAAGTTGAGTGCTGATGGGGCAGCAATGGAAGCGGAGCTCGTACACCTTCAGTTGATCCTTGATAGTCTTCAAGCCAAGAGTCTGCCGTCCGTGCGTGAAGCTAGCGATGGTCCGTTGTCGTGGCATTCCATTGCCATGGTGTTCAAAAGTGAAGCCCATCGGGTCTTGACGGACCGCGAGTCACTGATCACTCAAACGAAAGGGTTCCGCGCCCTCATTGCGTCTATGCAGCGCTTTGTCATGATGAACATTCCGGTACATGTTCACCTTGCATCGTTGTATGAATGTTCGCCTGTGCATGTAGCTGCCCGTGTCCCGCAGCAATACGTGGCCCAGTGCGACGTTGGTAGCCGACCCGAGAACTCGAAACCTGGGCAAGGAGTGGCTCACGCAGCAAATGTACCACAACATCCACGAGCCGTTCGCGTTGCTTCCTGCTGTGAGATTGGACGATGAGTTTTTCGAATTTGACTTTCAATCGCCGGACGAACACGACGATCCGTTTACATTCTTGGAACGGCTTCAGTGCATTTTACCAGGAACGCTATCATCCTTCCGACGATTCTTCGAGACCAAGGTGCGCGACGTGCTGTTTGAGGACCCCCACGAGGCACGCGACACCGACAGACAGTCGTCGACGTTTCATCTGACTTTTTCCGTTGGTTTAGGTGACAGAAGAGGTGGTGGCCAACACGCGACTGTTTTGCACCACGACGGCCGACGGCGACTTCATAAATACCCTCCAAGGACAATTTGTGGAAGCCGACAGGTTGGTCTTGGTATTTCGGCAAGTCGAAGACGACGAAGTCCATTCATGCCACTTCACGCTTAGACAGAGGTCCTACCGGTCGTGGTAAGGATAAACTTCTATCACTTGAAGCGAGATGTTGTTTCGTGATGCCACGTCATAGGATGGAGGTGCGACAGGTGTCGCCCACGCATATCTTAATGCGGTTAGTCAGTCATTCGTCACGCTTGTTTCGAGCCTACGAAGGGTTTATCAGCTGCGATGAGGTAGCGGCGTTGTGGGGCATCAACGTGACGGGCATCGTCGACGATGTCCAGAAGGAAGCGTACGTGCGGCGCGAACTGATCCGATTGGGAAATGCGCATTTCTTGGTTTGGCGACGACGGTTTACAGCCTTGATGCAGGCGTCGTAATACTACACGACCATCGTGGTAACCACGATTGAAGGAGCTTTGTTTTGCCTTGGTGCTTGAGAACACCCACTTCTGCTTTATGTCACGTAAGTAATGATGGTTGCCCTAATATAATACTAGTACTACGTAGTACTAGTATATAATAGGTTAGAGCATCATACTGTACAGTACACGCTATTTTACAGTTCTACAGTAAGTTACACGCTATTTTACAGTTCTAACTAGTTATCCGGATTATTTACCAACCCCACCGGCCGGGGGACTGTACAGTAAGTAGGTACTGTAGGTACTGTACTCCAGGAAAGTGCATAATTTTACTGCGAGACTGCAAATCGGCACAGTTTCGTGGGTCGACGGAAAGCCAACAACCATTTCCTTTGAGCAAATGGATCCTTCTTCAAACGCGCTCGTGGCTCGCACGTCTCTAAACTTGTCGAGTGCATCGGCAGCCCAACCAAAGCACAACCTTCGCTGAGCAGTGACACCAGTTTTCAGGTGTGACAGACTGTGAATGACCGATTTTCCTAACTTCCATCAATCAACACATTACAGTATATCTACAGTATAAGGGCATCCCCAAAAGTGTGACGGTATAATCAGACTGTATTTTGACGTTTACCGTCACTGAATTTAACTTTTTTGCATCCCCAACCTTGTCCAACTAACAGTAAAGTTCGTGTGACCTTTGCTCCCCATTCTGTAACTGTGAGCCTACATAGTCGAGGATCTTCAGCCTGACTATCCAGGGGTTGGTTGAAATGGCGCCTACTATTGACTAATATATAGGGCGGGAAGGCGTCAAGGATCGCACAAGTGAATTCCACGTCATCACCGTCGCGGCGTCGTCCAAAGCAAACTTATGCCTCCGGGTACATTTCCGGATATCATAGTTAACGTTATGCGGATTTTTTCCGTTTTACCGCTTGGGGTTGACGAAAATCAAAATAACGTTACAGGAGCTGAAACACGGTATTTTGCGGTCCTATTATACAGCCTTACCGGTGGGATGCTCTTACCCGGTATACTGGAGTATATACGTACCATCGTAATGTATTTGTGGGGATATGGCGACTGAGAAGCCTGTACGTATGTACATTGTACCTAACTGGAGGCTAAGACCTAGCCATCCTCGGCAATACTGTTAACGATGACTCAGGGTAGAGGAGGCGAGGTTTGGTTCATGATTCTACATCCAATGAAGAATCGTCGTTGAAACTTGGATTCCCAAATCAAGCAGCACGCGATCCTTGATCTGTTAGAACATGATTTGAGAATCCAACTCAACAACATCTGAAGTCAACGTACCACCTAACAAGCATATACGGTACTATTAATAGTACTCCAATGGGACAGCGAGGGGAATCACCCAGGATGGAAGGCGAGATCCAGATTGTTGGTAATTACCTGATACGGTTATTATCACACAGGTCAAGTGCCCTGTGTTGGCGTTAACACTGCCCGGATAATATTACTCTTATCCGGTTATTTGATGCAGTGGCTGTGAATGGTTTGGTTGTTGCCTTTACCCTCCAATCAGATCTGCAGATCTGATTGGTATCCCACTCTATGTTTCTATGGCTATGATTTGATGTTGGTGGCACTGAGGAGCTTGTGCTCCTTACAACTCGATTGACACCCCAACGCACTGAGCCTTTGTTCATTGTGTACTACATTTCTTTCGTGTTTGTTTCCTTCATTGTGTTCACTCGTTTACCTGACATTTCAAGTACATGAATTCATCTGCACTGTCCCTGAAAGGCTCCTCGGAGTTGTCTCTTCTTGTGTTCAATGGGAAGAAAGATACCTTCCGCGTGTGGTCCAGAAAGTTTATGAACTACCTGGAGGGCCTTACAATTGAATTGACGGGTTTATGGATCGGAGAGTCTGATAAACGCCCTCAACCTGTGACGAAGTTCGAGGACTGGCTGGTGTCAGTGCCTGCTCTTCATCAATCCGAGATTGATGCTACTGAAAAGTATAAGCATTACTTGGACTGGTATCGCAAGCGACAGGACCAGAAAGTTCGGTCGCTGTTGGTTCAACTACTCCCAGTTAGTTTTATCCAGCAACTACGTGATGGTAGCGATTCTAAAATGCCTGTGCATGAAATTTGGAGTGAGGTGCAGAAACGTTATGGAGTTTCGAATGCTGCATCTGTAACTGCCCTTATGGGAAAATTCATCCGCACAGCGGGTAAATCATTCGATACGATTGAGTCGTGGTTTGGAGAGTTGAAGTCTCAGAAGAATCTCATCAATGCTCAGTCGCGCCAGTACCTTAGTAGAGATAGCGTCAGCGACGATCTGCTTATTTGTCTGGCTCTGAATGAACTGCCTAGTCAATTCTACGGTGCTCAAGTGAAATACACACCAGACTCATTCAATGTGAATTCAATCGAACAGATCCTTGTCGGAATCTTTGGCCAGCGTTCGAAACGAGCGATATTAGCCATGGCTGGCCAATCATCGGCGACGGATGTGGCGTGTAATTCTATTTCGACCAATAGAAATGAGAAGAAGCGTCCGACCAATCAGGGTCCTGTATTGAATGGAAAACGTCCGAAATTATCCGGACCTGCGGGACCAAGTAGGACTGACCCTCGGTCTGGAATGTGTTTTTACTGTGGTCAGCCGGGCCATATTAGGGACAAATGTCCTAAAATGAGCCAAGACCTGTCGTACGGATACGAGCGCAAAAAACATCTGGTCGAAACCTGAAAAGGTCGAGCCACGGGCGCCCAAGAACAACGTGCCCTGCGGCGCCATCCGTGCCGAAGTTCCCTTGCCACGGCAGGCGGAGGTGCCTCTCCCAGCCAGTACGAGCCCTGCGGAAGAATCCCTGGCCGACTACCTTGGCCTTGGTCTCGACGACGACTTTGAGGCGAGTAGTCCGTACTACACGCCCGCCCAAGAACGTATGGAAGCTGTAGCCGGTTCTATGCAAACTATGTCCGTTGACATGGACGATATGGTAAGAAAGTCATATCCAAAGCTACTAAGTCAACGCACTTTGTCTAGGAATGATTGGGCTCTCGACGGTGGATGCGGCCATCACATGACAGGAAACCTCCAGTCCCTTAGGAGAGATTACTGTAAATTGGATTGTAATACTACGTTCAGTTTTTCATTTGGAAATGGGAATAAGCTTAGTAGTACGCATATTGGATCAATAGATCTTTGTCTTGATACTCCTACTGGTCTGTGCAACTTTCGGTTTCAGAAAGTAGCTGTTGTTCCAGGCTCTACAGTAAATATTCTGAGTGAGAATGCACTAAAATGTACCGGTTATGTCGTAAACGACAGTGCATGTGGGCGCTACAAGTATGTGTTCAAGCAAAACCGACTTCAGTTTGTTGCGGTTGCTATTCAGGGTGCATACTACGTGCGTGCATTTACTGTACTCGAGAGGCAGATTCGCTGTCATAATGTCAAGACAGGCGTATTAGAAGTAAGAGCAGTTAGCAATACTACTCTGGCGACGAAACTGTTCAAAGAATGGCATGTCAGACTTGGCCATCTAAACTTTGCGTCACTCGCTCGACTCCTTACTACTAGTAACTTCCCTGGTGTGCCGCGCATTACTAAGGATAGTTTGCATGGAGTCACACTGTATTGTCGAACTTGTGTTCGTGCCAAACACATTCGCATGAGCTACAGAAACAGTTCTGGAACCAGGTCTACTCGTGTAGCTGGTTCACTACATGTAGATACATGTGGACCGATGAAGCAAGCTGGTATTTACGGTACTACTTCTGGTATTAGGTACTCC